CTCGGGAGCAGCTCAATTTTCAAGACAAAGCGGGGCCCGCGTAGACTTTTCATCGGGATCGCAACGTCTCCATTTTAATTATACGTGACTTTCGTGGTTTGCCGAGAACTGCCCGGCCGTGCATGCCCGCGCAAGTTTTAGGGCGGGGATGATCTAATAACCGTGACGGGTGAATGATATATTTTCTCGTAGAGTGAAAGGAAGGAGGGAGAACTGTTGGGACAACAACAGACTTTTAAACTTTCGTTCTTCTCCAAATTGTGACTGATGTGCGTTCCTGATAGGCTTGTTAATTTGCCGACACTGCACGCGCACGTCTGGCACCCTGTATACCGTATACAGTTACAAGATTGCAGGTTGATGCTTGCAAAGGGTATCCGATCTGTACCGCCTTTGGATGATGCAATTAACAAGTGATAGTAGACTTTGGCATTTGTTATCTCGGGGAAGAGTTACACAGCTACGTAATTGAATCACAGGAGATTGTATAAGCTCTCAAAATGATAGCGCAATCTCTGATTAAAAGTAATGTGCTCAGACATTGACGAGACCGCGAGTGTGGTCCGTGTTTTAGGTACGCTTAATCAGCCTGGTATTTGTAGGAGCAAGGGGTATAAGTACACGAAAAAAATATGTTACATTTTGGAGTTTCACCTCCCAAAACAAAAACTACAATTGAGCATTGAGTTGACGGTGATGGAAAAAAAATGTTCTTTTTATTTAAGGCTTTTCATGCATTAAATTGCTCTATTCGTAAGTCTAATTCAACTAACTGACCTACGAAGCAGCGAAGTAAAACAAAAAACAGTGTAAAAAGATGATGACAAGAAGGCGCACGCGCAGTACAGTCACACAAGTTGATAGCACGCCCTCTATAAACACGTTCGGTAGCGCAGAAATTGAAACAAAGGAAGAAAAGCAAAGGCCAAGCTTTAAAAATCTTGGGCCTGTGTGACACTCATTTCTTTTGGTGATCTTGAGAAAATAACACAGCCTTAACAAAAAGAAGGATCAAATCTCAATTCATAATAAAGAGAAGAGTGAAGCATTACGAGAAATACTGCGATGATGCCAAACATTGGCACTTCACGAAATCGTGGGAAGCTAAAAGCTTTGTGTTTGTTGATTTAAAAAAATCAAAAGACAAAGTGTGTGCCGTTACATGTACTTATACCGGTTTCCTTTGTGCCAACATGGGCCCGGCTTGTTGACAATGCAAGAATGATCATTCATTGGGAGAAAGTATTTGGGTGTTCTATTGATCAGTTAAACTCGTCCCATTAACAAAACGTATTTACCATACTTAATGCAATTACACAAATACCTGGCAAAAACATATACCAGTGCAAAAGTTGGAATTAGCCTGTGCAATTCCTTTAATGCTGTTTAGCCAAAACCTCTTTTTTTCGCACTCGACTGCTTGAAGAATGGATCAGTTGGGCATAGCGGACACAGCGACCAGACTCGGTCCAGACCCGCGGACAATGGGGGAGAAGAATGGAAAATTAGGCTAAATACCAGGGTAAACACAGAGGGCTAAAGCATTTTATCCCCTCCGAGTTTTTGAATTTACCTGTCAAAAGCTACTCCCGGGGAACCGCAAGCAAAAAAAAAGTGACAATCCGTAAGACAAACATGACACTATACCCCCGTTCGGGCCGCGCCTGCGGGCGGTGCATATCGCAGCCGGCCGGGGCCGTCAGGCCGCGCTGACCGGCGTGTGACCCGAGTGCACCGCTGGTCATTTGGTGTCATTCGGCCTTGTTGGCGGAGCGATCTCTACCACGTACTCTCTTTCTTTTTGTTGAAAAGTCGACATTGTTTTGGCTTCGGCCCCAGCAGCACCTGATTCATATTAATTACCCAATCATTATTACCGACGAAGACATTAGTATATTAACGGGAACATTGCTGGAAACGCATGGAACCATGTGATATTCTGTATCTTGTGCCTTCGGATAAATCCTCATCTTACAAGTCTCAGAACAACAGACTGATGTACCGAGGCAAATATAATGCTGAACTCAAAATACAACCCAGGGAGTGCATTACATTTCACAAAATCACTTTTCACCTTCGCAAGGCTAAAAGTAAAACACTAAGCTCCATCAGCCTCGCCGAGTGAACTTAACGCAAAAGTCGCATTAGAAACGCTAGGTTTTACGATTCTTGTATTGACTTTCAAAAAAAAATTACACTCACTTCTAACTTGCCCGTTTTGTGTGCATTATTCGTTTCGCACCGCACAAGAACGGACACTTCAGTGAAAGCCAAACAAGCACTAGAAGACTTTTTAACAGAAGATCGACACTCTGCCGGCGTTTACTCTCGCCGCTTCAGTCAGTAAGTTGAGTTGTATAAAACACTTCGAGTGCTCACTCAGTGCCCACCGCTCCCCCTTTTTTCCGGATGAGGCAGATGGAGAGAGAGCAAAATCAATTTGTCGAGAGCCGGGGAAACATCGCGATATTGCAGACGTATATATACTGAGCTGCTGAGTGGATTACGGAGTCAAAGTCAGCCGGCACTCTGAAAATATTCCGGATTGTAGATTATGTGTGGTGTTAAATTTTATTTATAAGGTGTTTGGACACAAGCCCAAAAACAAGGATTCCTCAGAAGTGCCATAGGCACTGTAGCTCGCATGCCTGAACAAACCTGCAGAGAGATGACAATGAGAAGAAATGGCAGTTTTGGAGTTGGGAGGAAAACCCCACAAGAATATTGTGACTGACTTAATTACTATTGCTATAACTATTTTTTTTCCTGGTAACGAACCAAGGATTCCTTAGAAGTGACATAGGCACTGTAGCTCGCATGCCTGAAAAAACATGTAGAGAGAAGACAATGAGAAGAAATGACAGTTTTAGAGTTTGGAGGAAAACCCAAGTAGAATATTGTGATTGACTTGTGACTGACTTGTGACGGATTTTTTTTATTACTATAACTATTTTTTTTCTGGTAACGAAACCAAGGATTCCTCAAAAGTGCCCTAGGTAGGCCCTACTGTAGCTCGAAAGCCTGAAGAAACATGTAGAGAGAAGACAATGAGAAGAAATTACAGTTTTAGAGATGGGAGGAAAACACCAGAAGAATATTCTGGGGAAACCCACGGAATCAGGCAGGGACTGACAACCCAATCCACATATTGGCCTAGACAGGAATCGAACCCGGGCCACAGAGTTTGAAGGCGAGGACAGTAACCACTGCGCCAACCTGACTCTTTTGTCAATTCGCTCCAATTTTTTTTGTCAAGACGTCGCAATTTATCACGAGAATTTATCACGACATCACAATTAATACATTACATTCAAAGGAATTCACTATTCCAAAACGTACAGAGGAAGCTAGTACTTCAACTAATCATTTCAATTCAATTCAATTCACTTTATTTTCCACATAAAAAAAAGACAATCAGAGTTAAATATATACAAAATATGTGGATGGGGATCCCTAAAAAGCAATGCTTGTCATTGGTTTAAAATGTTGGTCATAATGTTGGTACAAGTATGGCCTTATCTACAGCTTAAGAATTTTGCTCATATAGCAGTTCAAGAATTCTAGTCGCGGCGCCGGGAAGGGCAAATTTCTTCTGGAGGTATGACGTAATTTCTTCGAGCCCCCATTGGATAGAATTTGTTTGAACAATAACACGGGTCAAGCTTTCCGCATGTGCATGACACGTGCGCACAGAATGTATACGTGCATTGGATGAGGCAGTTAGCTCCCCACAATGCTTTGCACGCCTCTGCTTCCTTCACAAAATCGAGTGATGGTGATTAGCCCTTCCCAGCGTCCTGTTTGGGCGCTGGATACGAGCGAATGCAAGAACATGTCTAGAACTCATTGGGGGAAAAAATAATAACTACACATGCGATTCAAATCACTGCATGCAATTTATTCTGCTCAATCACAGGAGAAGTCCACACGCACCTTTTTCTCGACTTATGCGGGTTGATTTTCGTAGAGCATCTAGATTCAGGTAGCTGCAGAGGTGAACTGGCAGTAAATATAAATAGCGCCCTCATGCGACTCGTAAAATGTTACCCACGCGCCGGGCAAGATTTGCGCCGCGATATACCTGGGGTAACATTTTTATATCTCCTCAGTATATATATGAACTTGCTTACCACACACAATATTTTGCTGAGCAAGAATAGGTTACCAGCGAGACATGCACCATGTGATGTATATTGATTGTGACTGGTTCGCGATCGATTTTGATAATTATTTTTAGCACACTGATACATTGTTGCTGAATACTATTTTCCGATTTCCGTCTGAGGTGTTTGGGGTCAAGTGAAGATTCCCGTGAAACCAACTGATGTGAAGCCCATGATAGAAATAAAAACAAGAATGAAAAATGATAAAAAATAATCTTAAAGGGATGGGCGTGGACAATGTTAGGAGGGGGCTCATCATGGCACGGTAAGAGAGACATTTGTTGCGGGTGCTCACTGATTATAATATTTTTCATCGGGAGATGTATTTTTCTTGGCTTCTGTTGTATTAAAGGACGGCAAATGTTAACATTTCAGACCAAGTTTTACCTTCCCACAATGTCATGGAAAACAATTGATACAACCAAACAGGCCGCAACTGACTGTTTGATTGTTTGTTCTTAATCACTCCAATGTACAATTTTGCCTTTCTGGTGAGATTTTTGTTTTCTTCATTCAGTTGACGTCCTTTATTCTTGAAGCGATATTGCTTGCGCCCATTATATACCAGATAATGATGCAAAATGCATTTAAAACATCTTACATTCTTAGACTTCTGAGAGTTCCTGTTAAAATCTCGATGTATTGGCCATACACCATACAATGACACACACACAAATGGTTAGAGATCTAGAGTGGAGGGCCAAAAGTAACTTGAAAAAAATTAATAGGCCTACAAAAAAGTAACAACTTCACAATTCCGGTTGCATTTCGTAATTGATTGCAGAAGTCCTGACCCCCCCCCCCCCCAAAAATATCTACCGGGACTGCAAGTGTCACTTCCCCGTATGTCAAAACCGAAAGAGCAGCGATCCGTGTGTGTGCGGTTTGATAGCGGTGAGGTTTGCCGTATGTGGGCACACGTTGAAAAGCGACAATGGGCCACAAGCGACTAAGACTCCGCCCCCATTTGAGCTATAATGCCGGCCGTCACTCCGTGACTGGACTAAAGTCTGAAAGGATCCGGACTATTCTAAGCAGTACGTTCGTATAATAGCTTAGCACGCCTTTGAACATTAATACACCTAAATATCCCGTCCCTCCCGTGTGTGTGTATGAAAATCTCGACCGGTGACGAACGGTACGACCGCGTGAGGGCAGTTACATCAGATACGTGGAGTGCTTTCTACCAACTCGGTTCGATTTCTACGCTAGTGGCCGAGCGGGTCAGACGAGAAGTACAAACCGGGTGAATCGGCGCGTTCTTCCCGGTAGCTAGTTGTGCCGGCTCCGCTGCCTCGGACCTTTCGTGACTCAGGCCCAGCATATACAGCTCTGAGTACTGCAAGTTGTATATTTCGTTTCCAACCGGAAACTCGCCAGGAAAGTTGACGTTTTTCTTCCCTTATTTGGCTCTTGCTGGACTGTTACTTGTTTTCTTCGTGTTGTTCTGGATTGCTTCTGGGTGGAGTTCGCCAACGGTTGTTGTTTCGTTATATTCAGGTAAGAAACAGAGTCCTCAATTAAAGAAATCTTTGGTCGTTGAATTTTTATACAAACTACTTTCTGCCCTTTTAAATTTATAGTGTCTTCAGCAGTCCCACACATGTCTTACAGTCGATTTTATATTACAGTGAAATGCTTTATTTCTAAAACAATTTTAGTTAAACTTTTATATTGAAGAACCTGACTCGACTCGTACGATCAAAACTCTAATCATGTATAGTATTGAATTATTTCAGCAATAGCGACGGAGATTATGTATACGGCGAAATGAATATTAGAACATTAATGAGAAATGTTGATGAAATACTTAGAGTTTCTTTTCATAAGTAACTATACATAATAAAGGAACATGAACTTATTCCTTCTCGGAAATCAACGAAAACAAATACTGGTTTTTTTAAAAAAAAATCATTTTGCCAAATCAAAGAAGACGTGTTTACGATTTTGGTAAGGCCAGAAGTTTGTCATTGTGTGTAAATCAGTGCAATTGTGCCGGGTCTTTGGTACATTTTGACCGGTGACTTAATAATAACCGGTACTTTCATAGTTATGACGGTAAGTTCGTTTACTAACTCTCAAAATTCAGTTCTTCCAAGAGTCTGAAATGATTTGGTCTAATCAATTTGCGAAAAAAAAAACTTTACGCCTTAAATTTAGCTAATTTTGAAATCAGAGATGGTCTCATTTTCCCAAATGGGACAATTCGCGTATAAAGCTTGTACATTTCTTTGACTTTAAGGCTCGTTTCGATCATTGTGACAAACGTACTTACTTTATTTAAGCTGAACTTTGACAAGTTGTTTTGTGCTTTTCGTACGCGGTCGCTTACAATGGAACAGTCATGTAGTGGTGTTTTTTTAATTATCATACAATTTTGAAGTGTTTAAATATCGCAAACAAAGTCACAAACTTTTCCCCTCGCAGTGCTGTGAAACCAGTCCGTATATATACTTCATGTCCGCTACTGAAACTTAATGACTTGAAAATCCGCATCGCCATCAGATAATCTTTCGAGTTTCGTTTTGGCACTTTCCAGCTTGTAAACGGGCCAGACTTTCATCCATCTCACCGGACCTTCTCCAAAAAAAGACGGAAATTAGGCCCTAATCGCGTTTTCCACCTTTTCAGCAAACACAAACCATACTTGATTTGTTAATTTATTACACAGTCAAACACACACACACACAAAATTTACTTGATCAAACCACCCGTCCGCCTGGAGACAAAATGGCAGCGACTGGCTCGGCCCTTAATTCTGTTATGATCGCCATGTCATCCACACGGTCCCATACAGATACACAGAACCATTACCTAAAATTGGGCCCACAAAGTGACAAGCGACGAACCTAATCCCTTTACTTCTCCCCCTCTCTCCAAATTGTTTTCAATTAGGCGTTTGCATTTTACTTTTTACACCTGAAAGAAAAACCTAAAAAGCTCAGCTTCCCCTGGTGCATTATACACGCTGTAGTTACCCAGACCGACATCTCTGTATAGCAAGTAAATCGGAACAATATTTGACGCCATATGGTTGCCACCAACCCCAGCCCGTCATTTTTTCGTCTAATACACATTTTGCCCCCGGCTCTGTTGCTTTTTATACCCCCTGAGTTATCGCCTGCCATTTCCCTCCACAAATAAAATACATCTCGGGCGGATCTAATGTAGGTAAAGCAATCACTTTTTTTTCTGTTGGCGGCTTTTAAGTTGTTAATCTTGTAAGGGCAAACAATACTCGCGTGTTTGTGTTTAAGGACCTGAGCGTTTTAAGCCTACTTAGAGCCAGGTTGGATGATGCGCAGCATTCGAGAAACGCAAGATGTAGTATCTTGGCGCGGGGTGTAATGAAGTCACTGTGCCCCGTGCGTAGACAGACGGGCCTAACGGTTGATGAAACATGTCTTAGACGCGGAAGGACACTCTCACCGGCGCGGGACGGTGCTTGCAATCGGAGCGGGCGGTAAGACGCGATGGACGGCCAGCTGCAAGCAGGAGACACGGTCAAGTTGAGCCGTAGAACAAGAAAGCCACGGAACTGACTTTTTATTTAAATTTTGACTGACAAGGAATCGTAACATCATCAATAATTCATACATCTCTGAAATCCAGTGACTGTGATTTTTATCACAACAGTCTGATGGTCAAACGCAATCCGTCGGTAGAGCAGAATTCGTTAATTATTTCTCACGGGTTAAATATTTTTCGGGATAGGTCTGTTCCGGCATTTCAAGCGGTCATTTTATATTGATTGTTATAGTTTAAAGTGTACGCCATTTGAAACACGATGCGCAAGACCGTGGCAAAATGTGAATCGATGTTTTGTTGTTTTGACTGTGGTCAAGTTGGAAAATAGTTTCACTTGAAAACAAAAATGCAATGTTATTATTTAATCCCTTATCATATGTTTTTCTGGATGGATGAAAATACGGTCAGGTCAGCTGAGCATTACTATAAAAGTGATAAAAAACGAAAATTAATTGATTTTGTAAATTTCCGTAATAGTTAACGAAATTAGAGATTGATATGAAAATTACCCCAAAATTACTTGATTCATTCAGATCAGTAGCTTCATGCGTATTTCATAGTTCAAAATGTTCATTACACAATGGACGAATACGTTTAACCAAAGCCTCTCTGGAGAAAAACAACTGCATGGCTGCATATACAAAGCGAAAATAAAGCCATTTGACATTTACAGCCCAAATCAATGAATCTTGTACGTCACCGCTAACGCACTATACCAAGAGATCGGAGAACCTAATTATAAAAAAAATTCTGAAAGGCGAGGGTGTTGTGCGCTTTCCCTTTATGGAAAAATGCTTGAATTGCAAGCTGTCTTCTTGCTGTCCCGGACCCCCATATCAATCAGATCATCTTTCAGCAGCATCTGAGCGATTGCTGGCGGAACAAAAGAACGCAATCGTCTGTCAGCCGGCCAAATGACATTATCCCCCATAATAGAAAACGTCCAAAAGTGACATCAGCTATACCCTTTTTATTTGATCTGATTAAGTCCCGGCCATCACGCTTTTCATCCTCTCGCCTCCTCATGTATTCACTTCCCTCAGCCCTGTCAATTTGTATCTTCATTCTCCCTCCACCCCCAAAACAAAAACAAAACAAACGATGTCCCGCGTCCGGACTTTTAAGCAGAAGGGGCCTCACCAGCAGACAGCCCACCGACCGTTTGGTCTTCAACACGGCCGAGCCTCTTTGCGTCTGTACGGTGAAGTCCAAAACCATCCCCTTTCTCTCGCGGACTATTATGCTTCAGTCTATTTTATAACCAGTCACTTCAACTATCAACACGGGGAAGAAAAGAACAGAGAGAGAAAGGAAACAAAAAAAGGAGAAAAAAGGATTGGAGTAAATTGAATTGTCTCCCCTTTCATCGGGCAATGGTCGACGTCTGTTACTCCGATCTGGAGAGTGACTTTGAGCGTTATTGAATGAAACCACTTGCCCCACCAACCGTTGCCTCGACTGGTGGTGGAGAATCGGGCCCGCGTTAAAGTAAACCCGGCCCATCTGTCGTCTTAATGCATCGGTGTGCCGGGTCCTTGTTAATACTTCCATTTAACTGGTGGTCTCATACAGTAAATAACCCCCCCCCCCTTCAACCCTTCCACAAACTGTGACTTGCCTTAAACCCAGGGGGAGCGAAAGAAACGACGTGTGAAAAATGGGGGAGAAAACTGGAGGGCTTTTCCGTCAAAATGCATGTGCGTAGATCGTCGATGTGTAAATATTTGAGGACAAAATTATAATACAAATAGATCTACGCATGCGGCAGTAAAATGCGGTAAATTCACGGTAAAGGCTCTGTAAGTTGCAACTTCAAAAAGATCTAGTGTTGTAACTTTTTTATTCAATAAGTGGCGAGAGAAGGTTACTGTATCAATACATTCTGGAAAATCTTTTTTTTTTTCAGCGAGAATTGTTTGTTAATTTTGGATGAGCAACCAAAGTGGTCATTCTCAACGTAAGAAAGTCCGAAAATAATTGAAGAGATCTAACGACAGAAATCTTGAGATTCGGGACAAAAAAAATAGCTGCAAAAATACTGTTTAAAAATTGCTGCGAAAATTGAATATCCAGCCAACTAATTTGACAGATTTCTGGTCTTTTGTACAAATCGTGCACCACAAAATGCATTGCCTTGACCACTGCATTGTTGTCTAGACCGCCCTTTCAATAACCTATTTGTCCACGCCCTTGAAGTAGGCTAATGCACCATTATCTAATTGAAGCCTATTATGGAAGGTTCTGGCTTCAAAGAAACAAATTTGTACCCAAAAGAGAGAAAAAAAACAGTTCAACAATGGAACTGATGTGGTCATTTTAAAGTGGTTGTTATGATAGCAATTTCCTCCATGTATCCGCAGGGTGGAGAATCTTTTTTATTGTAAGAAGGATCCGCGTGGACTTCCAATTAGTGTTCATTTCTGCTCAAAATCGGCTCATCTTTAATTTGCAAAAGCGGGACGGGAAGACCAGAAAGTTGGAAAGTTCCGGTTAAAATTGAAACAGCCATGAACTGTTCGATTACCGAATTACATTTCGAAGAAAAAAGTTTCCATGAAATAGATGAATTGGGCAAAAGGTGAAAAGTCTCCCGAGTCATTTTTAGAAATCAAATATTTACAAAACACTGCACTTTTTTTGTTACATAACGTGTTCATTTTCCCCTCTCTATTTCAGATTTGAAGGCAGTTATTTTGCCCCGTCATGATGCAGCATTTCAACGGCTACAATCCCGCCACTTTGGGCGCCATGGGCGCCATGTACAGCATGCACCAACAGGCCCTGCAGATACATCCGGGGTATCGGCCATCCACGCACGCCCTCTCATTGGCTGAGAGGCTGGCAGGTGAGCCGCCATTTTGTTTCTTTCGGATTGGTTCACGCTCTCAGCTTTTTAACATAACTGAATACCAGTGCAACTGCGTAGTCTTGCTCTCCGTTTAGCTCAGAAAAAAGAAAATCCAGATCGCAAAAGACCACAAAAATCAACATTTTAATAGCGTCTGGCGAGGAGAAATAAATCCTTCTCTTGCCGGACTCAATATTCAGCTTTTCCTTGTTCAACAGTTCCATTTGCCGTTCTCACTGTACTTGCCCCCATTTAAATGCTGGGTGCTAGTTTATCTCTCTGCTGTCTTGACGATTGAAATACATGCACACAAGGTTTAAACGATGACCCATTTTTTAATTAAAGTTTTTTTTCCAAGCCGTCGGTACTCAAAACCCGAGTCCCTCCGGGCGAAAGTAACCAACCCCAGCCTTGCTTCGTGAAGACCCGGGGATAAAATTGCCTCCGGTACACACTGGAACTTTGTGTGTGTTTTTTATTTTATTTTACCGGGGAACTCGCGTATCCCCCGTCACTAGATCAACTTACCCTCCGTCCCTTGCTCCCGTGCGGGACCCGCCGAACAATCGGTCCTTTCTCCCCGCTTGTTTTCTCACGGCTCGCCCCGCGTACGCGCCGAACAAACCGCCCAATGCACAGCCATTCACGCCAAATATTTTGATTTCCCCAAGACCCTAACTAATCCCAGCTCCACTCTCTTTAGACAACCATTTTTGTTCTCTTTCTTGTTCCCAAATCTGCGGTTTATAAGACTGCCAAACAGTTGATTCATTCTTGATCTTTTTTTTTTACAGTCTTTCACCCCCGATGCCACCTGCAAATTTTGTTTTCAACTTTCTTTCTTTTTTATGCTTATATAAAGAGGAAAGAAAAAGTGAGAAGGAAGAAAAAAAAACTAGAAAATACACTTGTTTGGAATAGATATGTCTTTGGGGATTTTTTTCCACCGTTGGTCGCTTTCACCCAAGCCTTGCTAATGCCGGGATTTAAAACTGTAACTTGATTCCGGCTTTTTGTGTTGGAATTGGCAGATTGTGTATGGGAAACATATACAAGCAAAGGACTAGGGCAGACATGGATTTGTCGGGCCGGCCCACACGGGCAAACTTCCCCGGCCATTATCCCGGTCCATGTCAACGTACTTGGTCGGACAATCACTTCAGGTCACACACCCAGGGGTGAAGCTGAAATGAAAGTTTGAGATCAATAACAAGTCCCGCTTTTTCTTTCCAAGAGACCGGATTTGGTGCACATCATTGGTGTTTGATAACCAAATTTAGCCAAATATATGAAATACTTCCACTTTTTTTTTGCATAATGTTATAAAAGTGTCACTTATAATCCCTGTTATCGAGAGGGAATTTCTTTTTTATCGTTTTCAAAATGTATTAATAAACTAAGTATATATCCCCGTTATTTTCAATGTTATAAGACTTCACTGAAGTTTCAATTTTTTAATTTCAGATTATCAACATTTTCTTACCTCCCCCCCCCCCCCCCAACATTTCAATTGCCGATATTTAAAACTTTTAAAATTTTATGTTTCAATTGTTTTTAGACATAATTTTGGAAGCCCGCTATGGCGCCCACAGGAAGCAACGGCGCAGCCGCACTGCGTTCACCAATCAGCAACTCGCCGCACTGGAGAAAACATTTGCTAAGACACATTACCCGGATGTAGTCATGAGAGAGCGGCTGGCCATGTGCACGAATCTACCGGAAGCCAGAATACAGGTACGCAAACTACTCTAATTAGTTGACTTCGTTGTGTCATTGGGTGTTTTATACCTTGATCCCAAGCTATTGGGGAATCTGTGTTATTACTTTTGTGGAATTATTTGCATGAAATTAGTTTTAATGTAAAAAAAAAGTTAATACCATGAAACTGTCGATTTGTTGCAAAAAAGTTGAAATATTTGGAAGACCTTTTTTGATCAAAATATTCAATTTTTTTATTTGGTTTATACATCTGGTTTCAAGTTTTAACCACACATGTTTAGCTTTACAATCTGTTTTTTTTTTATTTGAAGAGGCAACTTGCCTTAAGCGACCATTCTTTGATTGGCCTGGCCGCTTTACGCAGGTCCTGTAAATTGACTTCGATTTTATTACCTATTCAATCTGCCAAGAGCGAGTACTTCTTCAAAAAGCCGACAAGCTTTTAAGCAATTCTGATACAAACTGATTAACAAAAATGGGGCATTTGGCGGGTAAAATATACTTCCTCTGAATTCCCTTTAAATTGGCATTATAATCGAATCAGGCATACTTTGCGAGGTTACCTAACGGGAAATAAGGTTCCTTAATCCACAAATCGCTTTCAGAGTCACAATCAGTGCGTGATTATGACACATTAAGCGGGGGAATGTGTGGAGAAAGCCTGAACTAGAAATCGTAGAAATGCAGCCAATTTAGGCAAACTGATTTCAAGGCGGTTTCTTGTGTCTCCTATAATTTGTGGCTTTGAGTAGGGTCCTTGCCTGGGGGAATTTGGGTCACGTAATAGAATCATTGGCTTTGTAGTCTGGGCGCCAGACTTGGAGGACATTTTGCTATTTTACCGGTGCAGTCTGGCTTCTGTATTGTGCGCTGCACTTTTCTTGCATCCGTTTACGCGCGGAAGAAAACTGAATAAGCATCTCAAAATGGCTTTCCAGACATTCTATAATAATGACAGGACAAATCGAAAACATATCGAAATTTATTATGGAAACACTCATGTACTGCCGTTATTTAACTGAAGAACGTTAAAGTGCATCAGCTTTTTTATCTATAATAACACAAAGACGCGTCAGCCAACTTTTACGATCCTACATACCCAATTTTTTTAATGTAGAAAAACTTAACCACATTAAGCCTTAAATTTGTCAAATGTAAAGTAAACCAGGCTTATAGATCGATTGCATTCAGCTGCCATCGTTGAGGTATGTTTTGATATGTTATTACATGTTAATTCACTGATTTAATTAACGAATAAGAGGTCTACTGATGCGCGTCCCTGTTGAACAAAAGCAAAACCCGCAAAGATGGCGCAGTGCCAACGATGTATACTATGGGTCTGAATCATCAGTCTGTATACAATAACCTTGCTGTATGAAATGAAGAATGAATGACTAATTTAGTTGTGATGTATGTTTTTCTTTTTGCCAATAGGTGTGGTTCAAGAACAGACGAGCCAAATTCCGGAAGCAGCAGCGAAACAAGGCCATGGCGGAGAAGGACACGGACGGCAAAGAAATCGATGAGGATCACGAGGACGAGCGTGAGGTTCGCGAGGGCAGCAAGGGCGCCTCGTCACCTCACACGGACGGCGATGAGGCCCGTGAGGACGCAGACGAGGATCGACATTACGAGGAGGAAGATGAGGACCAAGACCTGGCTGACGCCGAAGTGGACGGGGACGGGTCCTCCAGCGAGAGGTGCCGGTCCACCGGGCCGAACCTCACCGCAGAACCCCACCGTGAGGTTCCCCGGTCTTCCTCGCCTCATCACCTCCGGGATATGGAGAACTTTGAGAACAACAACACGGAGAAGCTGGGCGGTGCTTCTGAGGTCCACTCAGCACCCTTGGAGGCCAGGCACAAAACCAACCCACAAATCATCTCAAGGGGAGACGATCACGAGGGAGGTTTTGAGGATTACGAGCGGGAGAGGAGGCATGAGGTGATCGAGAAGGAGCCCGGTGAGAAACCCTCCCCCGGTACCTCACCCTTGATCGCCATGTCCGAGGAGACACCCAAGTCAGTTCCGTCGCCTCTCAGGCCTTCTGTGTCTATCACCACATTGCAAAGTGAGTTCAACATAATAAACCAAATATGTTTTTGTTCCTGTCATACTCAAGTAAACATTACGAGGTTCATTTTCAAAGCTCCTCAAGAAATCGACTTTCTTTACTTACATTGATCTACGGATCCAGGTCTTTACTTACCTTGAGAGGCGGATCCAGGCTTTAACAGGGGGTTGGTTGAGGTATTAAAGTCGACAATTACAGTGACCAAAAGTGTTAGGCAATTATGAGCTGAGATTTGAAATTTCAGCAAAGGCAGTTTTGGGACGTTTTGCAGTCATATTTAAATAATCAACAATGATCAAACGGAAGAGGAGTGGTCGTTAGCCGCCCCAACCATCCTTCCCGCCCGTGCATTTGCATATCAAAGTGCTATGAGAGTGGTTTTTTTGAGCATTTAGTAAACCTATTTTTTTAATATCTGTTTTCAGATCCCTTGAGCGGTTTTCTGGGCGCTCCGCACACAACCACCACTTTCGCGGACGCCATGGGCTTCCCACACTTCCGAGGAGCGGGGCAGTTCGGCGCTTTGGACCCGGGCTCGGCGGCGCTGCTGGCCCGGCCAGGAATGCCGGCGGCCTTTGGACATTTCCCGGGTCTCTCGACCACGGGCGACCGCCAGCCGTCTGCTGCCGCCGCGGCCCTGTCCGGGTTCTACCCGCCTCACATGGGCTTCGCTGCCTGGCCACCGGCGCATCTCCTGCCCCACATCTCGCCTACGGGTGTACCACCGCTGATGCCGCACAATATGCAAAGCAGCAGTATTGAGAGTCTGCGCATTAGGGCCAAGCAGCACGCAGCCGCACTGGGGGTCAACCTTGCCGATTGATGGGAGGTCTGGCAACCTGACCCAGGAACCCGACCTATAATGCTTGAACTGCATGCAAATAGGAAACACGAACACTGACCAACTATTTTACGTTTGCAAAACATCTTCTTAGAAATTATGAATATGGCTTCCGGATATTCAAATTAGCTTAGTGCAGAAAACAATGGAAATGTTTTCCTGTTTTGTAATTAACCATTGCATAATGGCAAATTATTATTTTCTAATTCTATAATTCTCATAAAAACTCATATTCACATATAGTTCATATTCTGATATCTTCACAAAATAATTATTCAGTCAATCAGCGACTAAATAAACTTTTCAAAAAGAGCTCCTTAAACGACACAAAATATTCAGTGTTTTCAGTTAAAATCAGTCTTGTGGAAGATTGAGTGGTGTTGTATTTAAGACTAGAAACCAAAAAAAAAGTTAAGCTCTTAAAGAATTGATTTTTTTTTTTCATTCAAGAAAATAAATATTTCTCGCCTAAAGATTTTCAAATGAAAGCTCGTTCTGAGTGCAACCATCGTCTGTAAATTAACTTCAGAAAAGTATAGACAGAAGTTACATTTTGGAAACATTTTGGTGGGTTTTTTAAATCAGAAGAACGCAACCATGTTTCCTATAGGAAATAGGAATTGTAAGTCTTTCCAGAAACTAAATGCAGAGCCGCAATATTACTGTAGATAAATAATTAGACTGTAATATATTACACCTGTATAGGAAAAGTTGAGAGCATTATATGTATATAATTTGGGCGGTCGTGTTATATGAAAACCTAGGTGTAAATATCAGTATGTAGAATTATGCCAAATGTAATGTTGTTATAGAATAACAATGCAGCACTCAGGTTAAGCGAATTGGTTGTGTAAACGCAAGCGGTTCGATATAAACCTGAAGTTTTGAAAATGAAAATGATTTTTAAAAAAAATCACAGAAAAACATTATTATGTGATGAATTGTGGTAAAAAAACCCACAAATATTTTGGTACATAATCTTAAAAATGGGAAAATTCTTCGCCAAATTGATCTTTCGTTTGTGTTTTGGCTTCATTGACATAGCAATATAATCATGGTATAAGCATAGGATATCTTTCTTCCCGATTAATATTTTTTGGTATTGTATAAAAGAGACTTTTCAGTATTTTATCTTATAGCCAAAGATGTTAAAGTGGTGAATAATGTCGATACAAAGTGAATGACATAAAAATGTCATAGCCGTCTCTTCTATGTTTGACCTCGCATTATGCTCTACCACTAATAATGCCCACAATGGTACAAAATCCTGGACACGCTGAACAGAAAATAGTGCAAAGCAGATTCATTTCAGAAGCATAAAACAGCTACGATTTTGTCACAAGCAGTATAAATCTAATGAAATTCAGGCTCCTGACTTGTTTTGGCTGAGCAACTATGGTTAGCAATTTCCTGTGTTAAATATAACTCCATGAAATTGTACCCTGAATGGAAAGATTTAGAACAGATTCATTCGAGATTTGGCTTCTTTGTCCTTCCATTTTTTGTCTCTCTTTAGGGTTTCATGGCTCTCCTCTAGACTTGACAAAGTTATACTTCAGCACAGATAGCAGCAGCCATTTTGAGACATTATTCCCCGGTCGCCATATGGGAGCCGCCATGTTGAAAACGAAAACGAGGCGACACTAACGCAAAGTAGACTCTTTCAGTCGCTACTATTCTAGGTTGCTTAACTACGTCAGTTGGAGGCCAAAACTTATCAGTTTAGACTCTTTTTCAATGCAACCGTGAAAAGGTTGCTATCTAAGAAGTAATTAACTAAAAATTAATAATAGAAAACATCATTGGGAACAGCCTAATCATGCTTAAAGTTGTACATTTCATCTCATGCCTGAGAGTTTACTGGAGTGAGAGGAAGTAAATAAAAAATTATAAAAGATTTGCGTGAGAAATCGACAATTTGGCGTACATTTCATTTTCGTTTATGTGTTTAATACAGAATCTTTTGGACCTTCATTTGAATAGTTCGTAACGAGTTCTATTTATAAAAACAGCACCAAATGAGAACTTGAATGAGATTGACATGGATGTTTCGAAATTATTTCAGGGTTTTTAGCAATGGCAAAGAGAGAATAACATTTTATTTGATGCGAATTGCGTCGACTGCCCTAAACTGGGATTTTTTAAGCCCGGGAATCTTTCCAAAACTCGGATTTGATTAAAATCTGCACAAGTTATGGCGTCACTACAATCTCCTTTTATTTTTTAACATTCCTATACGGAAATATTCTGTCCAATAATTCCCTGTATTAAAGGGACATTACGGCCTGGAATGCGTCCAATTGGGCCACAGAACGCGTTTTAAACGAAATTATATTAAATGGAAAGAGCACTTAAAAGTAAAATATAAACGTCCACACAACTATTCTTTAAAAACCCGGGCGTTTTATCCTTGCGAGAACCCCATGCGAGAACGAATTTCGGGGGTCAACATTTAGTCCGCCAAAAATCGAGCTGTTCAGTGCTAGTTGTGATACCACTGCACCATTGTTTGCATTTTGCGGACGTTTCACAAAGAACGTTTGTGTATTTTATTTGTGCTGTGTGTAATTTATGTGACACACACAACGTGTATCGTACATTGAATGGATACGACAGAAAACACGTATGAGTACTACGTCGCGTCCATGTATATGGCCGGGGTTTTTTTGTTCGTCTTTTCTCGGGAACGGTGAGACATTATACGTTTGTTTCCTTTCAACTAGATCTTTAAAAAAACATAGGTAAACAATCCAAAACATGAACTTTTCGGGGATTTCGGGCAGAAATGCCCATTTAAGTCCCTGTATTATACACACGCGTATTCAAAAAGCACCCACATTTTATTTTTAACTTAACCCCCTAGTTTGTTTCAAAAACTCACATCAAAATTAGAGGATTCGGGACTTTTGGGGTTTTGAAAAAAAGGAAAGGCCTACCTGAAATATGGAATTATCCTTCGTTTATGACCTTTTCAACCAGCGCTCCAATCTTATGTTTCTGCAAAAAAGGGGAAACACAGCAAAAGTTTTAATCCATCCTTCTCACCATCTACTGCATACTGGTACATTTGCCATTCCTGGAGTTGAACAATTCTTGTTTATTGCAAAAGATATAAACCATAAACGAAATACTAGCAGCGATTTGCCATCAGTGTCTTAAACAAATAATTATGCTTGGTGAGACTTGTAGTAAAGACGGGTTTTTTTTTTTATTAGTGAGCCATTTCTTTTCGATGTACAAGCCAGGTCCATTGCCCTGATTGATCCACCTGCTAAGCTATTAAACCCTAACTTCTCCTTCTCCTAATCTGTATCTCCCGTGCCTCGATGATGATGATACACTAAGTGTCTCAGCAATTTAACAGCTTTTCCCTTTTTTAGTTTTCCTCCCACCAGGACTGCTTCCTGTATTTGCGCTACGGAGCACTCTCTCCCCCGATCAATCTTCCCCTCTGAATTCCCGCCCGGTGATTAATGACTTAAATGACTCTTTGCCCGCCAAAAAGTGATCAAGTAACAACTTAACAACTAGCCAGAGAGAAGAAAAGTCCGCGCCAGCAGCTCGTGCTTGGAATAATCGGCAGCCCGATCAGCACGAGTCAAGCCTGGGTTGCAACTCAACCGCAGCCCAAACCTCCTCCTAACACCAGCAAAAACTCCCCCACCATTTGAATATTAGGCCTAATGGCTGCCTCTCAAATCTAAAAATCTGTCAGTTTTTTGCTGGTGTCAGAGGGCCTTCCTATAGTATCCTTTTTGCATCCATATATATACATGTATCTGACTGACTGAATATCTGACCGACTCCCCGACTGACTGACTGACTCCCCAACTCCCCGTCACTTATGACCTGGTTGTTGGCTGATGAAGAGAGCCAGGCAGTGCTATTGTATAGGATTACCCCGTACATTCAAAACGTCCCTGGTCAGATTGACCCAGACTCCGGGTTTTGTTTGGCCTGACATTTTTCCGGGTCAAAATGGAACTCTCTTACTCATTTTCTGGCTCAGATGGACCCCGAAAGTGTCATTCTGACCCAGAAAAGTGTTAATCTGGGCCCTGAAAGTGTCAGGCCAAAACAGAACCCCAATTACGGGTCAAAGTGTAATGGGCCAAATCTGGCCCATTATGCATAACAGAATGCACGACAAGACATCCAGTGAATTTTTAAAAATTGCGCTCTGGGACCAGCTTTACTCAGCCTGCCTTGTCTTCCTGTTACCAGATTTACACTAACTTCAACTTGAGAAAAAAGCTGGCGAATTGGGAGGGGTGAGGGCACGTTTCACCGCCGCTCTAATCGCGACAATATGATAAGTGTGTTTGTCAGCAAATGTATCATCGGATAGCCGCTGCTGCAGTGGAGACTTTGTATACCGGTAACAAAACTGGGTTGATCTTGAACGTGTTGAATTTGCCACCACTTAGTGCCTCGTTTGTTTAACCGTCTGTCAGCCTAAAAGAGTCGCCGGAAAAAGAAGACGAGGGGACGATTTACCCTTCTTTTTTTTCCCTACCCTTTTTCTGTCGAGTGCTGTCGACAGAAGACAGATATAGGGATGTAACACAGTGGGTAGAGATAGGTAAATGGGACGGCAAACTAGATGGGGTGATGTGACAGGGGTATAATGGGGGCCACGGGTCGCTGGAGCACGGGGGAGAAGGCGGCTACAGATGAGGTGGTTTATAGGAATGGTGTCGTGATCGAATTTTGCAATGATGCTAAAGGCGTTTAGCCAACATCGTCTCATCTTATTTTTGTCGGTTAAGGATTTGAATGAAGCTTTTCCTGTAACTCCCAATCCATTGTAGGCTGAAGGAAAGATGAATCACAGAGATTCGGTGGAGGCTGAAAAGTTGATTCTCTGAGGACCAACTCAATGTTGGTATGTTGTCGAGAGCAGGAGACTGCCCGAAACAATGCGACTTGAAAAGGCTGCGCAACACAACCAAATCACGAAAATTCGTCAATATCCTTAATTTGGTACAGTACCTTTTTGTACAAACAGTTTGTTTGGTCATGCTTAATTAAGCATCTGATAATTTGTTTCATTTCGTATTTTTTCTGGTTAAAATGTGTTTTTGTTACAGATAACTTACAATCACGGAGGGAGATAGCAGCATGACACAAACCATTTCTCAACGGTTGTTCAGCAAAGGAAGACCCGTTTTCAAGACAATACATTCTAAATGTACTTCTAAAAATTGCCTCGGTACTAGTGACCGAGACGTTGCTAAAGTAGGCTCCAGAGCTTACACAGAGAAGGCAAAAATAACAAATTTGAAAAAATTATCTCTTTTCCAAGTTAACTTTCTCTCCTAAAACCCGAAGCCTTTCGGCTGCATTGCCTGAGACTGACTGCACCCTTCACTGAAATCAGCAAGAAGGAAGGTGCATCTCTGCGAT